GCCGTTGAGGAATCCTCAAGCGATATTCACCAGTACACTCGATATCCGAAAGTTGGGGTGGGTGTGTCACCGGAAGTGACGTGCACTTGATAGAAGTGCGTGGATAAGCTGCTTCCAATACATCGCTGGCTATCAGCAAAGCATGCTGGCAACAGCTTATCCACGCACTTCTATCAAGTGCACGTCACTTCCGGTGACACACCCACCCCAACTTTCGGATATCGACTGTACCTGTCAAAGTGCAGACCCCATACTTTAAGGCAAAGTCCGGGATCAAACTGATGTATTACTGAGCTTGCAAAGTGGAGATGTAAAATGTAACGCCAGCAATGGAAAAACGGGAAGAAACCGTCGACAAGGCGAAAATAAAACCCTCTCTCCAGTAGCAGCAAAGCGAAATAGCACTGATTTGTGGGCGGGCTCAATGGTGTTGGGCGGGGCCAATGCTGCATCCTAGGGCCTTAGCCCCGGCCTTGTCAAATCATCCCGAAAGTTGTGTACATGCTTTCCGCTTGCTCGCCACTTCACTTTTCATGGAGAAAAGCTTAATTTTGACAAGAAACCCTTGCCTCTAATACTATACAGCGAAGCATACCTGTATGAATATGCGTTAAATAAGGACATCTTTTCGACTGTAAGTAGACTTCAGTTCGGTACCATTGCTACCGTAATAACAAAAACCATTCGTAAACTTGTCTCAGGATATCTGTCAACCGTGAGGCTAGGCAATTCAGCGTTTTGTAGTGCTGTCTGGGAGCTCTCACACAAGCACACTATTACAGCATCTCTGCTTTCTTTACTTCCTTCAAAAGGCTTAGTCTTATTACTACTAAAAGCTTTTCATCTACACCCTCACCTTTTGGTTGACAGAAATCTTGTAACCTCCGTAAACTATGGTATGCCACACACATCACCTAAGGTTCACGTAAAGAGCAACTGCTAGTGTGCAGCTTTTCGGCAATGTGCCATTGACAGAGCACTGAGAGTACATAAAGCAAACACATGTGCATTTGATGGGAGAAAGACGAAATCTAGAGCAACAAAAGAAACAATTTTTCTTACAGTAGAGGCGGCGCCCATTGAGACAGAGATTTTTGGGTGCAATCAGTCATTCTTAATTGTGAAGTTCAGTTGGCTGTTGTTGGGGAATAATAGGATGGTCAAGTATAGGTGAAGCATAGTGGTGTCATAGGATTGTTCTTTTCAAGGGTATAGTTGACTGGTAATTGATAGCATGCGGTTTACATTTTTTTGCCGCGTGGAACAAGGACGTGGAGCTCACCTCAAATCGGTGGATTTTGAGTGATATTATTGGTGTTGTCCCATAATTCCTGGCCGATTTTGGTTCAAATTCCATTTTCTTCATGTCAAATTAGCTTCATAACAAAATAAGTTGATATGTTGAAGAACATATCAACTTATTTTGTTATGAAGCACATCAGGACCTTCAGCCAGGATGTTTCAGAAGTTCAAATGCGCAAAGGGATAATTAAGTAGGAATCAAAATAGATCAACGACCAAACCCAACGATTATGCCTTACGACAATTTTAAGAAGAACCTTGCAAGGAGCGCGGTAGGCAAGATCAGCGCTACGTTTGCCCCAGTCTTTGCTACTGATCGAGCACTGAGCTATTGGCTCAATAGCATCGGCAAAGACGATAGGAGCTGCAAAGTTCGACCTCATGGACCTCCAGTCACTTTGGATGAGGATC